AATGCAGCCTTTATCAACCATTATGTGGTAACCCTCTTCCCAACACGCAGCGGTGCTTTCTTATTAATCCTGAAAGACCCACGCCTGAAGGACTGGCTAATTACAACTCAATTTAAAACAATTAAAGCATTCGTGTCTAAAAATACATATAAATCACCCCAGGCGGAGGAACCTAGTTCTTGGGTCCAGATCTACATGTGGAAGGATTGTGAGATTGTGGTTTCGTGTGCCAAGTCCAGCACTCATCATCACAGAAACACGATTCTGAGAACAACAGGTCATTTCTGCTCATTTCTCCCTCACAATAAGTACAGCTAAAGTACAACTATTAATGTGAAAGTACTGCACATCCTGTGCACAAATGACCGCACATCAGAGAGATACAGATATTTCTGATGTATTGTCTGCCTCTGGACAGCTCCCATGATTAAAAGCAGTAGCTTGTTCAGTCAGATCAGCTGATCATTAGCAGTGCGGCTCCAAAGTTCAGCCAATCGGAAGACGTCCAACATCACCACTACTGCAGCAACATTATGAATTAAAATAAGGGTAAAGTAAGATGCATATTAAATACATAGGCATCGTTTGTTTTACTAACTGAAATCCAACACAATGCTTATTAACGAGTGACATCATGAAAATGACGACTGAGTCTAGTGTCCTTCTCATACTGCATCCACGAGCGAAATTGTCGGACCCACGTCTGGGAGTGAATGACAGGAAAAGCAGTCAAAGCGTGGAAGCAGTCGGCCTGTACTCAGGGTGTCTCACTTCCGAAAGGAAACCGATCTGGTAAGAGCAGAGGTCAGGGCGAGGAGGCGCTCTCAGACCACGCAGTTACAGTGCCTAATCAAATCAGTTCAGAGACAACAAATGATTTATGCAGGGGTCACTGCTGGGCTCAAAAGAAAAGCACATTAATTATGCTGCTCCAATTTAATTAGCGCTGGCGAACACAGCAATATTGATCCAAAGGAAATTAGGGAGTTCGTTCACCCTCCCCTTTCCTGAACACAGGTCAAACACTGGTTCGACTATGAGGGGCCAGTAGGGGGCAGTGCAGGGTTCAGCTGGTGCCAGTAGAAAACCCTCACAGCATCAAAAGCAGCTGGAACGCATTCATACAGAAAGGAGAGCCGCTTCCCGGGAGGATTCGGCTAAATGACTTCATTTAATTGAAAAATCCGCCCAAGATTAGACGACAAATACAAAAGCCTGTATCATCGGGTGGGTGTGGAATGTGGAAACACAATACCGGACAGGGGGTGGCGGATCTCTTTCCTTCCCATAATGCCCTTTGTCTCAATCTGGAAAACGACAGGTCTCCTTTACGGGACCGGCACGCTCCGCGGCTCTGCACAGATGGCAGGCGCCACGAGTTCTGGGGCCCTTGGGCCACGTGGCATCGTCAGCGCCGCCATTTCGGGGGCTTGAGAAATGCTCA